ACGGAGTTGGAATTTTTAACTCAAACTTTGAGTTTTCCTGTTTTTATTCTTAGTCATGCTACTCCTAGGATGTATTCTTCCAAATCTAATGGCAAATGTGATTCTCAAAATTGTCTTGAAATAATCAAAGTAAATAAAATGTAATAAGTGGAAAAAAGAGTCTGTTGTGAATAAATGGTCATAGAATGCTTTCAAATACTGATCTGATTTTGTGACATGGGAAGTGCAATTTGCAAAGTAAGAATGCTTTCTGAATAAGCATTCCTCTAAGGTACCACAGAGCACTTTTTATTCAGTTTTGAGGAGTCTTAAAACTGATAATGTGGTAGCTGTCTTAATACAACCAATTGTCACTATTTTTATGCAAAATGATCTGGACTACTGTAAATGAAAATACAGTAACATTTTTCTGTGGCTCATTTTCTTTTTTTCTTATATATATATATATATTTAAAAAAGGATATACAAGCTTTCTCTTGCTTTTTTCTTAACAAGCTTGACTTGTGTAAGTGAATCTTACATTTAGTAACTGGCCTGGATGCTTTGTTTTTGTTGTCAACAGTTCACTTGAGCAAAAGACAAATTTAAGCACAAACACTTGAGTTTGTCAAAGGTTAGGTCAAAACATTTAAGCCCTTAATTGGAAGGACAGAGGCAAGAATTACAGAAGCAACGACAAACTGTCGGCTCAACTTCATCTTATAAAATGCAGCTGAATTCCTTCATGTTAATTTTTAATGATGCTTCAAAAAGGAGGGTAGCACTTCAGTTAGAGTCTGACAAGCTTGTCATTTGCAAATAAATCAAAAGACAATCACTGCAACAGCAAGAACCAACGAATTAAGTAGTTTTGTCATTCTTTGATAGGCCCCATGCTCAAGTCCTCTATTAAAAATGAATATATTCAAGAGGCTCTGCATTAAGAGCACAAACAATTAAGGGCACTTGAGATGTTCCATAGAGCTACAAGAGCTTTCATGAGAGAGGCAGACTACACTCCCTTTTACCAGGGAGCTGGAGAGTATGGGCAATTAGTCATGTTTGTCTCTGCTCAAGCAGCTTTCTGCAGAATTCTTTGTTTACTCATTCTTCTGATTGCCCTACATGCCTTAAGATCAGCAGTTAGATAATAGTTATGTTAAATGGGAGAATGTCTGGAAGTAACTAATAATTTTTATTTATTGGCTACCAAACACGTAAGATCTAAATCTGAATAACGTATGTTATTTTAAACATAATCAGTAATAGACGGTGTAAATCCGGATTAACCAAGCTCTCCTGGGCACTTTTAGAAAAGATTTTGCTTTCAAGAATGAAACTCACTCACTTTTAGGGGAGTTGTCCTGCATTTTTTTTTAAATTGATAGAGACTGAGTAATGTTTCAGTAACACTAATCCTCTCTGTCAATTTAAAATGTTCAACATCTGTATGTGGTTGAAGAACATTTCTTTCCAAACTCACAAATAAAAAAACCCTAACATTTGCATGGCAGAGACTGTCATTAATTCTGAAATCTACACTTATTAACAGCAATACTTTCAGCTTTGTATACCATTGTATATGTGGAGTGAAACGTTTAGAAAATTTTAAGAAGTGGGGAAGGGTTAGGGAATAAAGCATTCCATGTAATTCTGACTAAACGTCTGGTCTTCAAAATCCTGACAATGTTTGGGTATAGAAGAACATTGTAGATCTAGTATGTCATATTTTTTAGGTCATAAAAGACAGATTTAACTCTTCTCAGTTGTAACTGTGCTAGAATATTTCAGTGAAATGAGTATTAGGGTTTGTTTAAATACAGTGTTATTGTGTGTAATGTGCTTTGAAAACCTGAGATTTGAGTATTGGTAGCACTGTTTGTGAGTGGGAAATAAATTATTCCATAAATGGATTATGTGGAGGATTGCCTTAAGGTGTAATTTTTTACTTGTTCCAAAGTTATTGTACCTTGCAAGGTACAAATTCATTGTCTTTTGAAGAGCTGGATTAAAGTCATCGTAATAATTGCTTAGTCTAAATATTGAAAACAACTTCTTACAATATCTGATGGAAAATTTTAGATAAAATGTGTTTTGTTTTGAGGTCCAGAAAAGTTTCACTTTTCTTCCTTTCAGTGTGAATGCCTATCAGTAGGCACTTGTAACAGCAGCAAGGAATCTTAAAAAAATATATATAAAATAAAATATAAAAAAAATATATATATATATAAAAATATATATATATATACATACAAATGTATTTGGAAACAGACATGAGGAGTAGGGATGTTGTTTGTATCTGATAAGCAGTGCATATCACCTCTTTCCAATTCTGATCTAAGTTCAGGTATTTTTTCTACAGACAAGATTGCTTTGAATATAGATTGACTGGGGAATAGTTGATTATACTCTCTGGTACCCAGTTAAGCATTCAGCTTTTCAGTGTGCAGAGGGGATCTCTGCTGAATATTGGAATGAATACCAATGGCAAATGCAACTCTTTAGATGCATATTACAGATTTTGTACCTGTTTCAAGAGCATCTTCCTCTCTTTTTTTTTTTTTTTTTTTTTTTTTAATTTATTTTTTTTTTTTGTTCCTAGAATAAAGAACTAGGAAAAGACCAATGCTACTTGTCCTGCATATTTTGAAAAGAAGAGAAGAACTTCATTTTTTTTAACTTCCTCCTAATTTTTTGCCCTTTTAAATAAAGTTTTTATAGAAAAGAAATAATAATTAAAAATCTATTGCCCATATAGTGGGACTGATCATTAGTAAGGAATTTTACGCTTTTTTGTTTTACTCTGTTACTGCAAATATTTGGGTCTGTTTGGAAAAACGCAGAAATGTAGACTAGTTGCATATTTTAAAGACTGTTCAAGATAAATTCTTCCACAGATATGGGCAGGTTACTTCCATCAGGATTACTGAATATAGGGAGTTATTTTATTTTATTTTTTTTTTTCCTTTAAGCTATAGAAACTGAAACAACTTTTCACTGGAAACCCAAGTTGAAGTTTGTTGATGTATGCTTGTGGTCCAACCGAACTGTTTGTGTGAGATGACAGATGTTTACACTAAGATGGTTACCCTCTGTCCCTGTTGTAGGGATGCAGGGAAGAAATCACAGAATCATGGAATGGTTGAGGTTGGAAGGGACCTCTAGAGAGTATCCAGTCCAACCCCCTCAAGAAGGGACTCCTAGAGCATGTGGCACGGGGTCGCATCCAGGCGGGCTTGGAAGATCTCCAAAGAAATGTTGCTGAAAAGCAGCTGTCTCTTTGTTGCCTTTAGAGATGGGGCCTTTTTATCCTGGGAAAAATTAATCCCAGGCCTGAGTGCAAGATACTTGTCTCTGTAAGATTGTGGTGTGGATATTTGTCAAATACTTGATTTTAATAATGTGGAGCGCATCAGCCTGCATCAAAGAGAGATGGTGTGTTGCAAGTCTCTTATTCCTGAGGTAGGAAAGGGAGTGTTAAACCTCATCTACTCTATTTAGACTGCAAATCACTTGCCTGCTGAGATACAAAAGACAAATGTGACATTTGCTTCTTAATTGTTGCTTGATTGACACTTAAAGTTCAATGCGTACAAAAAAAATGTTAGTAAGGAATGTGGGATGAGGGGAAGGTTTGGAGAAAAGCTTACATGAATTAATAATGTTTTCATCTGACTTCTTTTGAGGAAGTTAATTTTTGTGGAATATTGTTTCAGGATAAGCCTCGCAATTCTCAAATGTGATAGCTTATTTCCTGTGTCTTTAAAATAAATAACTTCAGCTGACTTAGTTATATGAGAGAGGCTGGCAAGAACTGTCCGGGGTACCCAGGGTATGGGTTAGGTTCAGTCTAGATACTAATATTGTTTGTGTGTACAGTGTGTGTGTGAGTGTTACAATGATTGATAATTAAAAAGATAACTTTTTTTTTTAAAAAAAGAAGTTTAGTATGTTTTTTTAAGTATTCTTTAAGACCTGAGGGTTAATTATGGTAATTTTTAATAGCAGGCCTATATGTAGGTATGAAAAGCTATAAATGTAAAAAATAAGGCCAGCTACTGACAACTCTGTGCCACACCAGAAGTCCTGTTCTTAAGTCTGTTTTGAGAATGGAGAACTAGGAGCAGTAGATGGATTAACTTGATGACAAGTGGGCCTTGAGCATTTCATGCTGCTTGCTCTGTATCACTTTCAGTGAAGGATTATCACTCTAGTAGTTTCTAGGCTTATTGTTCTTTTGTTACTCATGGCTTTACTAGTTTGGTAGTATTGACTATAATATTTTCTAATCAGGTTCCATTCTTTTTCTCTCTGAATTATTTTAATTCTCAGTATGGATGCCTTGGAAGTCTGTATCTACTATGTCTCGATACTGCCTCAATTCTGTTTTTCCTTCTGTAAAACTAATTTCGCCTTCTGATTCTTCTCTTTTTTAATCATCTCTTTAGTCTCTGTGTTTCTTTAAATGTATCTTCCAGGAATCTTTCACATTGCATCTTGTTTCAGCCTTCTATTATGTGTGCTGTTTGTCTCTTTTTGATAATACATTTATTTTAATTATTTTAATTTTTAATTGTTTTCTAAACTTTAAAGTTAGATACAAATTTACAATTGCAAAATAGATTGTGAAAGGCACTTTCTCTGTGCCCACTGCCTTCACATTATGCTGGTTGATAATTTGAATAATAGTAAATCTATCTTTTTAAAAGTTTCACCTTGTATGTAATGGATTTTAAAAAATGCTCTACTTGTTAACAAGGTATGTAAAAGGAGCAGATTTGTGCTTAAATGTGTATAAAGATTACATACTTGAGGCATGGCTGATGTCTAAAGTAGCTAACTAAATTTGTGTTCTGAGCTAAGCTTGTATACCAAATATTTGTATTTGCAGTAGTATGAAGGCATAGATTTTTCTTATTGTTCCCAGTGTGTGAAGTTAATATGATCCTGCAGACAAGTTGATATATGTGAGCAAGCCTAAAACACAGTTTTAATCAAAATGTTTTTTTTTTTTTCTATAGACAGAAATCGCCAAGAGATTAAATACAATTTGTGCACAAGTCATCCCATTTTTGTCTCAGGAAGTAAGTAAAACTGTTCAGCTGTTAAAGTGCAATTATGTTGCTTTTCTGTTTGCAAATTAGCTAGTTTTAAGATGTTAATTTTATCACAATGCACAAATGTAAGGAACATCTGTTACAGTTGAAGTGTGCAACCCCACTGCTAATTTGGTCTAACAAATCTGAGTTCAAACTAGTGACAGTAGCTCTGAGGAGAGGGAGAATCTGTAAAATGTTATCAATATAACATAATTATTTCACTTCCAGTTGTGTTAATTGCTTGCCTGGTATTCAGTTATCAAATATAAGTCTAGTGAAATAAGAATGCTGGTCTTGTCTACGCAATTCTTGCCTTTTACACCAGTACCTGACCTCAGATGTAAAACTGTTGTTTAAGGTTCCAAACCTGCATAATAAATCTTGCCTGAATTACTATGATTTTAGCATATTGCAGGCAGCTGCTGTTATATTTTGAAGCCTGTTATTTTGGATGTGCATTTTCAAATTCCACAGTTTGCAAAGAACATATCTAACTCTTTGTGAGATTGGTGAAACACTTAGTCCTCTTAGTAGGAGTAGTCCTCAAGTAGGTTTTGCTGTGTAGGCACAGAGTATATAAATGTTAAAACTGACACTACTTTGTAGTTGACATTATTGTTCTGTCAAGTCAATCTATTCATTTCCCAGAAAGTTAATACTGAAATGGCATGGGAAGAGAGGTGACATAACTGACTGCCTTCAGGGTTCTCACTTGCTTTTGATGAGCAGGTGAGAAATAGGGCACTGTTGCTTCCTACTTGTCTAGCATGTGCCTTGTAATAAATAGACTGGATTTCTACAGGGAAACATGTTTAACTGATGCTTGTGATCCTGTTTTTGCTCTAGTACAATTTGATGCAGTAAATGCTCTAACAAAAATTTGTCCTCCACCACCCTTCTTATTTTAATAGCATCAGCAGCAAGTGGCCCAAGCTGTAGAACGTGCCAAACAAGTGACCATGGCTGAGCTGAATGCCATCATCGGGGTACGTGGCCTTCCAGGTCTACCTCCTACAGTGTGTATAACCTGCTTTCATACCTTTCTGATTTGCTGTTTTTAAAATAAGATAAATGTTTTGATATCTAACACTGTTTTGATGCCTAATACTGCTCAAACATGTTTGGCTTGATTTGCACAGATTTTTAGCAAGGATTAAGTTAACAGCAGTTACCTATGTGAAAACATTATTTTGTTAAGTAACACAATGCATAACAAAACTTTCCCAATAAGAAAGATAATGGTTAGGACAATTACTTGTTTATTTGTACCTATTGTATGTCAGTTGATCTAGTTATCTTTGCCTCTTGCTTTTTGTGACACCTGAGTTCTTGGAGGCTGTACAACTGTAGATTCTTTTTCCCCATTTCTTGTGAATCTTTCAAGAATTTTAAAACAGCAAGCTAATGAAAGGAGACTTCACTTACTTTGAAGTAGTATTAATTGTCTGTCACAATGTTCTAGCAGCCTTTCACCAAGTTTGTGCTTCTAAATATACTGAAATAAGTTAATACTACTTTCTTGTGACTGGTTGTCAATCACAAGTCATTTGTTATGTATTAATGAACTTTGTGAACTATACATTCCTTCCACTGCATGAGTTCATTTCCCCCTGCCACTAAGTCTAGAATATTTCTCATGTTTTCTGCCCTTCCACACTAAGTGAAAGAAGTAGCTGAAATAAGAAGGCACCCTTTCTGATTTTATTCATATGTGAGCGCTTTGAGCGGATTCAAATTACTCATTTATCAATTTATGTTAATTGCTTGTGAGAAGATGCCCTGCTGGTCTTTATAGTTCCCTCAGACACTTTGTAATGATAATTAGACATGCTGCTGTACGGATTAACAGTGCCATAGTCCAATGACGTCTACAGACAATGGAACCAGTTAATCCATCTGTGCTTAAAATTACATCCCAACTGGAGATGGGAAAAAAAATAAGAGCAAGGGAGGATTAAAAGAATGAGCCTCAGCTTGAAAACTCTCCTTTCATCAGTTTCTCAATTGCAGATCTGCAGTTGGTTTGCCTGTGGTAAGCTATTGGCAGTCAATTAGGTGAAATAAACTGGGAGAGTGACCTTCATTTCCTTTTAATAGCTTTTTTCCTCCCTGAAATGAGGAGCTTCAGTGGATTTTCAGCTTAAATTTTATTCAAGCTGCTTTATTACACTTGACAGATTAGCTTTGCATAAACATACCCCCTTCAAATCTGAGCTGTTTTTTTTTCTTCATATAAATTTCTGACTGTTTAGTTGATTTGCTAATCACACTTGAAAAATCCACACAATTACATCTGTATCTGTCACAATCTCCTCTACACTTTGCTCTTGTAATGAATTACATTATTTCAGAGATCAAATCAGGTATTCATACAGGACATACATTTGGTTGGCAAAGATTAGAGATTTTTTTTTTTAATGAATTATTTCCTTAGGGGTACTCTGAAATGGAAAACCTCAGTTCTTAGTGAATTTTTTTTGCAGTAAAAAGAAAAATGTTTTAAAATACATTTTAAAATCTCTTTAGGATTAGCAAAATTTGGTTTGTCAAAGTTGTAATGGTAGTGTTGTCCTGTGTGTAAATCATTAATCTCTTAATCAATATAATATAATCTCTGAAAAGCAATAAGATCTACAAGTACCACATTACAGCTTGTTTTGTGGGAAAGCCCTTTGGAAGCAGGAATAGAATTTTTTTTTTCCCCCTCTCAATTTCAAATTGTCCAATGTTCTTCAGATGAAATACTTCAATGTGTCTTTATAAAGACTTCTGAACAATACAATACAAATCCAAAATGAGAAAGTGAGCACAGTGGGCCCAAATGATCTTTGGCCATGTAGATGCATGCATATGCATAATATCAAAATTAGATGTATGTTACAATGATCTTTTACAGTCTTTACATGATCAATAAATATCTTGTGCCGCACAATAAGTTTCATGCTCTGACATATCCTTAATTTTGTTTGAAAGGGATTGTGTTCATCCTGAAAAATCTGAGTAGCATAAAATCGGGTTGACGATTCAGTGGACCTTTGCTCCCCTTCACTGAGCATGCAGTGTGTTGAGCTCTCTCCCCAGAGGGGAGGAGACATCAGAAGCCTGTCTGTTCATACAAGGAGCAGCTGCACTGAAAGCAAGCACGGCCCAGTTTGATAGCAGCTGCCAGTATTGTTCAGGGACCCAACTTAGTTTAAAGAACAATAGAAAGGCCGTGCTCTTAAAGTTCAGTGTCTTTCTAGATAAGAAAAAAAAAATAGCAATTTAAAGGGTTAGAAATCTATTATGAGCATGAAAGATCATGAAACTTCCTTGCAGAATGCAAGCAGATTGGAGCAAACTGTAATAGTGGAAGATGAAATCAAATTATTTTTTAGTAGTGTGGAACCAGGGACTATCTATGTACAGTAAATTTTAGGATAAGAAACTTGAATAACTCTCTTTCTAGACTGGGTTCATTCAGATGCTTTTGCTTTACTACATAAAACCTGCATTTTTGGGTGTTACTTTTTGAGAGCTGACTCTCTTCCTTCTTCATTGATCTTTAAGGGCCACTGTTTTTTAAATCTTCATGAGTCAAAAGTTTCCCAGTTGGCTTGACTGAGTTAGAGCAAAACAGCAATTCTTGTTGCTACTGGACCATATATGAAATCTGGAAGAAAACAAAGCCTTGAATCGGTGGGCACAGTTTTTAGAAATAATACAAGTATAAAATAAAGAGAATTCAAAAATATTTTCTATTTTTATCTTAAAAAGTTAGTCTGCTAAATGTGAGGCTGAGGATAGGGACCTGCAGATTTTGGGTTTTATGGAACTGAGGAATTTAGAAATTTATACCTGCCATCCAGACAGGCTGAATTTTGAAGTTAGTGTATATTACACATAAATGATGAATTAACATATTCAGTAGTTTGTCTGGTTTTTTTTTTTTAATTAAAGCTCAAGTGTCAAGTGTTTTTTTTTTTTTAATTAAAAAAATAAAAAGGAGTAGTATGATTGGGCTCAATGAGCTTGTAAATAGTGCTAATCCTTTGTGTTAGTTAGAACTTCTTGTATGAAAGGAAGGAACCATGAATGAGGATCAGCTACTGACAGTTGTACCTCTGTTCTGTATTATTCCTGCATGTTTCTGAGGGCTTTAACCTTTCACCTCTTGGGTAGCAGTGTGGCTAAACAACATGCTTTCTTGGGGGAGGAGGGGCGTAGATATCATTCATATGTATATCAAATTTGAATGAAGTACAAGATTTATTAAACACTTAAATTAAGAAACAAAGCAAAAACCTTTGACAGTAAAAGATACATGTATCTGTTAACTCCTTGGCACTCCTCAAGGTTGCAGCTGGAGGCAGTGTCTACATTTGGGCTTAAGGAAGAATACATATCCTGATATGAGAGGATTAAGTAAATCATCATGTTCTAACTTGAAGGAGTATTTTGAGGCAAGAGGAGTATATTTGTATGTGTGGTCTTTGTTTTTGCTTTTGTTTGAGGTGGGATTGAACAGCTTGAAAATCAAAGGTACTCAGAGGTCATGCTAGGAAAGACCCTTGTTACTGGTCTATGCAGATGTCAGCTATTCATTTTTTATAAAGCATCTTTACTTTGAATTTAATAAACTACTAGGCAATTCCATGTATAGAGCAAACAGATATCTGAAAGAAAAACATGAGCAGCAAGCTGGAATCTTTCTAGCACCATATTTTTAGTGGTGCATTGCTGAGTGCTGAAGTATGTCTTATTTTGCCTTTTGAGGTGAGTTGTTAATGGTTCTGTGAAATGCCCTGTTTTGCATGGACAGTGCTTCTGAGACAGATTGAGCTGTAGCCCTCTGAGAGGGCCCTCCAGTGTTGCATGTGGTGATTGGCTAAAGGATTAGCAAAATGTGGGATTACTAATTTTTTTTCTCTCCTTGACGGCGGTTGCCAGCTATCTTTGGGATTGTAGTGTGTGAAGCTTAAGAGGATGAGGTTAACCTCTTGAGGGTTTATTCTTATGAGTATGTAGTTAATCCTTGGAAAGCCTATAAATAACTAGGCTGTATGCTTCATTATAAAATAGAAATACAGACTAGAACAGAAATGAATGCAGAATTTAGTGCAGGGGAAGAGCTAAGCAGCTGTAGCATTACTTGAGATCCTCCTCATCCATGATCTGCATTATGTGCCAAGCAAAGAATATGTGGGGGAAAGGAGGAAAACTGACTTAGTTCTTCCAAATAAATGAAATTGAATAAACACAAGATGCTGTCCTCACTTTTAGCATACCGACTTGGTAAGCTCAAGTGTTAAATTCTTACGGTAGGAACTATGTTATGTGAGAGGATTTCCTGGCTGCTTCCTTCCTTCCCTTAATTACAAGCAAGTACTGTCATGTTAGTTGCCATTAGCTTTAAGACTTGTAAGCAATTTTTAATACAAGTGAATAGAGATCATGACAATTGGTATTCCCAAAACGCTAGTTCCCAAAGAATGGTCAGTCTTTTTTAAGGAATGAACAGGCAATGAAACCTAGCTATACACACTCACTATTTGTGTATGTATATATATATATCTTTTCCTCCTCCTCTTGTAAAGACAGAGAAATAGAGGATGTTGGAGCAGCAGTAGAGGGAATGGTGGCCGTGTCTAAATGTCTGAGCTGGAGGTACAGGTCAGACTCCCCTTAATTTGCAAATTTTGCTATGTGGTTGAATAAAACAAGCCGTATCCAAATCTTATCCAAAAAGGTCTGCAAGATTTTTTAGGTGGGTGTCTCTCTCAGAGCTACTTTTCAAGCTCTAAGTCAGAAGTGAGACTATGTACATAGGAAGATGAGCAACTTGGAAGGAAGGAAGGAAGGAAAAGGAGATAATTGTGGGGCAGCAGGGGCCAGAATTGTGGTCATGTAGAGCTCAAAACTGAGCATGAGTCCTGGAAGATAGCTTTAAGAAATCATAAAAGGCAAGGCAAAGAGCCGGTTTGTACAGCAGCTTACTGTGCCTCAT